TGTGCACTTGAGAGGAATGTGCATTTACTAATTATAGAGCATTCTAGGTATGTCTAATGGCTCAAGCTTATTTGTGTTATTCACAGCAAGTATACCCTTACTGGTTTTAGGTTTTTATCTGTTCATTGCTGATAGAACAGTTCAAATCTTTCAAGTCTTCCATTGTGGTGGCAGACACATTGATTTTTCCTTGTAATTATTCAGCTGTGAGATAGAAGGAAGTTGTTCATTTGTGACAACATAGATGGACCTTGAGGACACTATGCTAAGTAAGATAAGCAGGAAAGAAAAAGATAAGTACTGCATGGTATCACTTATATGTGGAATCTAAAAAAAAATCAAACTCAGAAGCAGAGAGGAAATACGTGGTTGCTAGGGGCTGGGGGTGGGGAAAGCAGGGAGATGTTGATAAAAGAGTACAAACTTTCAGTTATAAGATGAATAAGGTTTGAGGATCTCACATAAAAAATAGTGACTATAGTGGAAAACACAGTATTATGTAATTGAAATTTGCTGAACTAAAATGTCACCAAAAACAAAGAAAAAGATAAATATGTGAGGTGATGGATGTGTTAATTAACTCAACAGTGGGAATCCTTTCATAAGATATACATATATCAGATCACCACAATGTACACTTAAAATATCTTACATTTTACTCTGTCCTCAAGACTTCAAAACCTCAATAAAACAAAAATTTTCCTTTTAATTCTACCAAGTCTTACCACATATATTTTGAGATTATGTTATTAGGTTTATATCATTTTAGAACTGTTTATTCTTTGGAACCATGAATTATTATGTAATGACCCTGTTTATTCCTAATAATAGTTTTTTAATAATTTTTTCCTAATATTAAAATACCTGCATTAACTTGTTTTGTCACCTGTGTTTCTGACTCTCAGAGTTCAGAAAGCCCCTCAAAGGAGAATAGCCCTCCCAACAATATGGATTCTCATTTTATTGGGAGAATGAAGAGGTGATGATTTTCAATGCATCTAGTACAGAGGGACAAGATGAGCTTGTTACTAAGTCTGTCTGGAGAATCCATGATCCTTCCCCAATATCTGAGTTGGCATCCGTCAGCACCTCCTGGTTCCCTTCTCACCTGGCAGTTGAGAATATCATAGAGAAGGTCATTCTTCTGTGCCAGGCAGCTCAGCAATCGAATGGCTTGCACCTGAATAAAGGAAAATAAAAAGCATGAGAAGGCAGGTGAGTCTGGGCCTGGGTAGGGACACAAATCTCTAGTTCTCCCTCTAGGTGCTATGCCAGGGCTGGTCAGGAGGGCAGGGCCTGGGCCATGGCCCTCAGGCACCTGTGCCAGTATGTAGTCTGACTGCAGGATCTCCATCAGGGCAGGCATCACCCGTCGCAGCTGTGGGTGCACGAAGTCAGGCAGTGGGAGATTGTTGAGGAGTCTGAGGCCTGCAACATGCAGCTCTGAGTCCCAGATGGTGGAAATCAGTTCCAGTACCTTGATGGAGTGTTCCTGGGAATAGAAGGGGAGAAGGTTCTGCTTTTATGCAGTGACTGCCAACACTATCCCAGCCTGCCTTCACGCTTCATTGCCCCACCCATGATACTTGAGGCAAATCCACTACACAATTCCCTCTAAATTAAGCTCTCAGCATTATTGACCTTGTGACCACTCTCACCTCCTTGAGATTCTTTCTTCACTTGGCTTCTTTTATAGACTTTCCTGGTTCTACTGCCCAATCTCCTCTATCACTTCTCCCTCGGTGACACCATCCCGATGCACAATGTTAAATACCATCCATACCCTTTTCAAGTTTCTGCCTCCAGCCCAGACATTTCCCTGATCCAGGCTCAGATATTCAGCTGCCAATTCCACTTCTTTCCCAGATTGCTGAATAGACTTCAGAGTTAAAATGCTCCAGGTTCCCAAACCTGCTCTTTCCACCACCTTCCATCTCAGCTGTTGATTCCACCTTCCAGTTGCTCAGGCCCAAAACCTGTGGTCCTCCATGTCTCTCTTTCACACCCCTTTTCCAGTCCTTCAGAAAATCCCATTGGCTCTGCCTTCAAAATCTATCAAGCATCAAGCCACTTCTCCCATCTGCCACCCTATTCCAAGCCACCGACATCTCTCACCTGGATTCCTGCAGTAGCATCTGAACAGCAGGCATGTTAGATGTGTCACTCCTCTGCTCAAGTCCCTAGTTCATCAGCATAAAATCCAAAGTCCTTACAGTGGCTCACATGATCTGCCCCTCTCTCCGCATTATTTCAACTTGCTTCATCTCTCTTATTCTCTCCTTTGCTCCCACGGTACCCATCACAATGGCCTTTTAGTTATTTCTTGAATATGCCAAGTACATGCCTATTTTAGGGTTTTGCCAAGATTGTTCTATTCAGAATGCTCTCTCCCCAGACATTCAGAGTTCACTCTTACCTCCATCAAGACTTTGCTTTCATATTACCCTTTAAAGTAAGGCCTTCCCTGACCACCCCCTTTGTAAGACTGCAACCAACCACCTCTGCCCCAGCATTCCTTATACCCATCTTTATTTTTCTCTATAGAGAAAATGTAACACACTTTTTATTTTCACTATACATTCAGAAGAAGTATGTAAAGGATAGTATGGAGAGGTCCCATGTGCTCTTCAGTTTCCCATAGTAGTTACATCTTACATAGTTCTAGTACAATAGCAAAAGCAGGAAACTGGCATTGGTACAATGTGTGTGTATAGTTCTGTATCATTTCATCTCCTGTGTAGATTCATGTAGCCACCACTGCAATCAACAGATTATTCCATCAGCTTGTCCCAATACCACAAAGATCTCCCTCAAGGAACTCCCTTATAGTAATACTTACCTCTCCCCACCAAAATCAGCCATTGGCAACCACTAGTCTGTTTTCTATCTCTATTATTTTGTCACTTTGAGGTTGTTACATAAATTAAATCATATTTTGTGACCTTTTTGAGATATTTTTTCACTCATTGTAATGCCCTTTAGATCCAAGTTGTGTGTATCAGGAGTTCATTCCCTTTTATTTCCAAGTAGTGTTACATGGTATAGATCAGTTTACCTAATTATTTATCTATTAAGACATTTGGATTCTTTCCAGCTTTTGACTACTACAAATGAAGCTGTTACGAACAACTGTGCACAGGTTTTTATGCAGATCTAAGTTCAACTGCTGGATTGTATGGTAAATGTAGTTATTCTTTTTTTTCTTTTTAAAGAAACTGCCAGTTTCTCAGAGTGACTGCTGCACCGGTTTACATCCCAGCCAGGAATGCATGAGAGATCCAGTTTCTCTACATCTTCACCAGCATTTGGCACTGTCATTTTGAGCTTAGATCATCTAACAGGTGTATGATAATATCTCATTGTGGCCTTAATTTGCATTTCCCTAAAGACTAATGACATGTCCTCTTCAGTGAAATATCTCCACATCTTTCATTTATTTTCCAATTGGGTTGTTATTATTTTTTTTAATATTGAGTCTTTTTTGTCACCTGTGTGGTTTACAAATATTCTGGGTCTGCACTTGTCTTTTCATCCTCTTAACAAGGTCTTTCACTGAGCAAATGATTTTAATTTTGATGAAGTACAATTTATCAGATTTTTTAATGGATAATGCTTTTGGTGACATTTCTACAAACTCTTCACCAAGCCCTAGGTCCCAAAGATTTCTCCTCTGAAAGTATAACCCAGTGCCAGCCTTCTTTACCACCATTCTTTATTTTATTTTTCTCCATAGCACTTGTCACAGGAAACATTACATATTCTACTTACTTGTGTATTGCCTATCTTGCCCTGCTAGACTATAATTGCACAGGGACAGGAATCTTTCCTAGGCACAAAATAAGTAGGTACTCAATATACATTTGTTGAATCAATAAGGGGATCCTGGCTTCTGAGACACAAGCTGGTCGGACTGAGAGGTATTACCAAAGACAAGTAATCTCACAAGCTGTACTTTGAGAGCCGTGAAACAGGGAGGCAAGAGTCCTGCAGTGAGGACCAGCATTCCCATTAGTACCCTGCTCCTCCCTGCCTCCACCCGTCACTGTCTGCTAAGACATGAAAGACAGCTAGGAGTTAGCAAGTCCAGGGTGAGGTTTCAGGCAGAGGGGAGAGCAGGTGCGAGGGCCAGGGAGTGGGAGAGCATGAAACATACAGTGCAAATGGTTGGGGTTGGGGCAAGGAGGAGGAGCTGATCATGTGCTTTAGGCTGAGACTCTTGAGGAAGACCAAGGTGGGGTTGGTGGGATCAGAACCCTCTGGAGAGGGCAGTCTGACTTAGGCAACAAAGGCAAGCTCCACGCTGGATGTGCTGGGTTACAGTGCCACTAGGCTGTCTAAATGAAGCAGCTGGCCATGGGTCTGGAGGTCAAGAAAGTCACCAAGGTGTGGAGAGAGACACAGGAGACCTCATTTAGGTGGAAACTGAGGCCAGGGAGTGGCTGTTTTCACTAGGACAGAGGAGGACAGGGGTCAGGTCCTTAGGATACAGACCCTGGGAAAAAAAGAAGAGTGGTGCTCAGACCACCTGCATCAGAATCTCCTGGAACACTTGTGAAAAACACAGCTCCCTATTGAATTAGACTCTGTAGATGTGGGGCCTCCAAATCTTCTTTTTAATCAGCTCTCCAGGCAATCCTGATATGCTTGAGACTCATAGCCTCAGGGGAACTGGGAGGGCTGCAGGATAAATTAGCGGTAGCCAGCAAGAGAAGATCTAGAGAACTTTTTTTTCCCCTGAAAGTGGATGTGCCAAAAATTTAAAGTGTGAAAATACCAAGTGACGGGGAGAAAATGCTGCATCAGGAACATGGGTGCAGGGCTCGGGGAGGGGGAATACACTGATACAACCCTCCTTGAGAAGTTGGGCATACCTTTTCACCCAGCCATTCCACTCCTGCTTACAGACCCTGGTCAAAGTCTTCCATGTCCACAAGGGAGATGTGTGAAAGAATGCTCACCACACAAAAACTTAAATGCCTACACTTAGAGAAATGCATAAAATAAAATTGCAGAGTACTCATGGACTAAAATACCACATACAACAGTGGAAAAGAAGGGAAAAGCTATCCACAGCAATAAGGATGTGTCTTTCAATGTTTTGGGGGAAAAGGCAAACCACAGAATACAAACTTCATACTTCCAGATATACAAAGCTTAAAACATTCCAAACTCTATCTTACCTATTCATTTGTCTGCCTTGCCCTGCTAGATTATAAAATGGTCATATCCATATATGGTAAAACTACCAAGAAAAATCAAGGAATTGATGAAGAAACTGCCAGGAAATGACTGCCTCCAGGAGACTGGGCATCTAACCTATTGGTCATGTTCTATTTCTTAGCCTCAGTCTTGGTTATGCATGTTTTATTTTATTACTGTTCTTTCTACTGTACAGATCTAAAATGTTTAAGTTTTTAATATTTGACTTATTTTTATTTTGGGAGAGACAAACCATTTGCTAGAGAGATTTGGAGGTCAACAAGAGGTTTTTTGGTTTTTCTTTTTAAGATGGGAGGAAATAGAGCATTCTGAATAGTAACAGGAAGGAGGCGGTATCAGACAGAGAGGCTAATCAAATAAAGGCCTCCAGGGAATGGGACGGAATCCAGGACTGAGACTAATGACCTCAGACAGGAAGAAAGCCATTTTTCATGGCACCAGCAGGAAAAGGTGAGTGTGGACAAATGTAATCCTAGGGACTTAACAGGAAGCCAGGGAACTCACATTTGGGGGCTTATATTTTCTCTGTATGGTAGTAGCGGGGGCATCAGCGGCCCAGCCACCAGCCTCAAACCAACACAGCAGGAGGGTTGTGTATAATATATCTGGTCTTTGTCCTTAGTTCCAGGCACAGAACTCCTACAATCCTCGCAATTTCCTGATAGGAGTACCTTTTATTATTCATGAATCCAGTTCCATTATCCTAGAGTTTATGCTAATGAATGTCTCTTGGTGATTGGAGGCCTGTGGTCAGAAAGACCAAGCTATGATTAGAGGATTGTAAGTTTCAGCGAAATCTCTGACCTCCAGGGAGAAAAAAAGGGCTACAGAGTGAGTTCAATCAGCAACAGTTAATGTCAATCATACCTGATGAAACCTCCATAAATACCCCTAAATGGGTTCAGAGAACTTCAAGGTTGGTGAACAGGAGGTGCTGGGGGTGGGGGGGGCGGGTGGCATGCTTAGAGAAGCCACAGAAGTTTTACACCCCCTTTCCCATACTTTGCCCTATGTATCTCTTCCAGTAGGCCACTCCTCAGTTGTATCTTTTATAATAAACCAGGAGCAAACAAAAGCAAAGCCTTTTCCTGAGTTCTGTGAGTTGTTCTAGTGAATTATTAAATCTGCAGAGGAAGTTGTGGGAACCTTTAAATTAAAAGCCAGTCAGTCAGACTTGTGACTGGAATCTGAAGTGGAGGGCAGTCACGTGGAATTGATCCCTTCACCTGTGGGGTTATGCTAACTCTAGGTGGTGTCAGCATCGAACCATAGGGCACCCGTTGGTGTAGGAGAGCTGGTTGGTGTCAGCAAGAACCCCAGGGGGCTTTCTGTTTTTTGGGGTTCAGAGATACTCCAGTGCCCTAATTCAGTTTCACCCTAAGATTTTTTATTACCCTGCTAGAGTCACCATTTCTCCACTTATTTCCAAAGAAAAACATATTTCTGGTTAACTCAGACTTAAACAAACTTCTGGAACGTAACCATAGAGCCTATTAAAGGGCCTGTGGACTCTGGACATCCTGTGTGTTCTGCCGCACCATTTGTCCCTGGACTCACCTGGATTTTGAGCCTGAATTTTCTGATGCCAGATAAAGCTTTAAGTGCATTCAGAGCTTGGATTTTGACACTGTTGTCCTTGTCATCCAGCATGGAGCCCACCAAGCCAATATCATCAGTAGTACAAGCAGAGGCCTGGAGTGTGCCAGGAGAAACACAAGAGGCGGGAGAAGGGGGTGTCCTGGGTCCACTGCCCCCCATGTCGCCAAGACCCCTTGTGTCGTTCCCGTCCCTCCCACCATCAGACAGAGAGATGGGTACCAGGACAGATTCTGGCCAAAGGGGCGGGGATCCTTTGTAGCCCCCAGGGGCCAGGCTGGCTGGGACCTCCTGCTTCCCATCCCTCACCTCGGCCTCCAGCAAGTACACACAGCGTGTGATACTGTGCAGGATCATGCTCTTGGCGTACTCATCCTGTTTGCATTCCAGAGAGTTGAGGAGCCTCCGGATCTCACCTGAGTCTCGCCCGTGCTGCTCTCGCTCGATTGCCAGGCCTAGACAGCCACCCAAGCCCAACTCAGGCTGTGAACTCAGAAGTGATGAAAGAATGGGGTTGGGGTGTGGGTGAGAGGGACTTAGGGATAAGGCTGCCTTGCTTTTCCTGAAGAGAAGCCTTCTTGCTATATGGACCATGTACAGTTGAACAGGGTGTGTACTGCACAAGGCCACCATATCTAATGCTGTATTGTTCATATCATAAACATCAGTTATGCATATTTACTTTAACAACTTTCTGACATATGGCAGTAATATGTAGTATTTCATTGTAAACAGTATATGGAAGGGATATTCCAGCAGATAACAATAAAAAGTCTTGCAGAAGGGGTGCCTTTCTCTGTTTCAAGCAAAATTGTCATCCAGACTAGTGGGGGCTCTAGGGTGTGTAGATCTCCCAATTTTCTCTTGGGGAAAACTGCTGATGGCAAGTTTCCAGGCACTGCATCTTGGAAGCCAAAGTGAATGTGATTTGAGTGTATTTCCTCTGAAATAAGTAAATGAATATAATTTGAAGACCTGCCAGATTAGTCTTGAAAATCCACTCGAGTACCACCACTACTCCAGGACCTGGGCTAGCTTCTCTAGGGTGGGTTTGCAGAAGATGGAGAAGAGAAGGAGGACGGAGAGAGGAACTAGGAGTCACCTTTGGTCCCTCCCACACTGGAGGCCTCGGTAGCAGGTGCCTCCTGGGGCAAAGCCCTTTCCCCAGGGCCCAGACACTCATGGGCGATATAGATGGGTGAGCCAGAGCAGACGGGGGGGTTGGCAATTCAAGCCAGCCTTGATGGCCTTGTAGAGCAGGTAGATGGCCCCAGCACCTGTGGCCAGGCCCACCAAACTTTTCCGGATGTCCACGTGTCCCAGGCACAGGGGCTTGCACATACCCGTGTCTTCAGCACTGCCTTGTGCCTGGGTGGGAGCTGGGCCTGCTGCACCTGGGAAAGGCCTTCCGGAACCAGAACTCTGGCAGAGCCAGGAACCAGGGCATCAGAATCAGAATCTGGGCAACAAAGGAAACTGGAGAAATGGTGGGATGGAGGCTGGTGGTGGGGAAACAGGGCAGCCAAAGGGTACTTGGATAGAGAGAAGGTTCAGCTTTGGAGTCAGTAGGAAATGAACCTCGGGACTCCAGAGGAGTAAAAAGTCTGGGTGCAGGAAGGTCCCTCAGGCCCTCTTTCCCCTAGTGGAGTCAGCTGCAGCCCAGCAGGTGACTCCAGAGATCCCTTCCCTCCATTAGAGGGCAGCAAGGGTCCAGTTTCTGCACCCGGACCTGTGGCTGTTTCTGAGAGGAGTGTCTGGGATGTGCCCACTGGCAGCCCTGTTTCCCTCACTTCCCTGGCCCTTCCATCTTTGGTATCTCACCAGAGATCTACTGCTGGGCCTCAGGGCGTTTCTGCATGCAGGGTGCTCCCTCCAAGAAGGATGAAGAGAAGGGGAACACCATCATATTTTGTGCAGAGTCTTGAGGCAAATCCATCATCTTCCATCATCTGCATATTCTCCCGTAATGTATATTTAACTGCCTTACCAAAAGCTCTTGAGGGCAGGTGTCCTTGCAACTCCATCATCCATCAGAGCCCTGATCTTAGTAGGTGCTCAAGTCATGATTTCTGTCATTCTTTTGAGGACTTGAGGGCAAAATGGTGACAGATAACCTGGATACAGGGGCTCCAGGCACATTTAATCAGTGTGACCCTGGAGGAGGAAGGGACTGCCCTTGGCTGGGTCTGTGCCTGCATTTGTGATTTGAGGTGATACAGAATTTACCATTCTAAAACTCCAGGTTTAAAAGTTAGGTAGGCCTGGGCCCATGGGGCCTAAATCTGGGAGCACCACAGCCCAGCGAGCCCCTTCAAAGTGTCCCCAGACTCTCTGGCCTCACCTTGTGGTACAGAAGAGGGAGGTGAAAGGCCCCAAGCCAGGCTCTGGCCCAGAGCCACACCTGAACATGGTTCTACCAGAACAGGCTTCACCTACCTGACTTTGAGCTCCTGGTGGAAGGCTCTGGGTCCTGGGCAGCACCTGCTCTTGAGGGAGGTGGGGAAATAGAGAAATAGCATCCCCGAGGATGCTGCAGCCAGCCAGGCCTGTCCACCCTGAGCCTTCAGCCATCATGCCTTGGTTTGCAGGCAACACTCCTAGATGGCTTTTCTCTTCCTTTCCTCTCATCCATCCTCAGCCCTCCTCAGCGGTCATTCCTAGCACTCTACCCAGCCCCATGATGGGTGGCTACATGGACTCCCTGCAATGAGGGATGACAGAGATCCCCAGAGGCCTCACCACTGCCACAGGACCTAATATATGTCCTACAAACTCTGGGCAGGAAACGGCTGCCTGATGGGACTGTTTTAGGTTCCAAGGGCTAACCTGGTGGATCTGAGGATAAATCCTCCAGAACAAGGTCCCTGCCTTTCTCTAGGGTGATGCCCAGAATTACTGGCCTCTCCAGTCCACCGAGTTGACTTTGTGACCCTCGTGTCCTAAGAAAACATGGTACTCACCAGTTAAAGATCTCCAAGAAAGAGACTCTTTATTGGCTTTAACCTAACTCCCTCCTGTTACACCCAAAGCCTGTTTCTTTTCTTTCTGCCCTCAAATCATTCAGGGGGGTTAGAGGCAGAGGCATCCCCAGTGTGATATTTTCACTAGTCCACAGCATGACAAAAGAATAAAGACAGAGGACTGTCTATTTGTTGGTGTGAAATCAGTGACTGTCCTTTCTTGGGAATGACTGCTTTTGATTCAGATAATGTCTTTCTCGTTTTGAGAATTAAAACATACTTGCTTTTATATGAAATGAAGATGACTACATAGCAGTTGTTTTGGAAGTTCTTAAGGAGTGTAAATTAAAGCTGCAACTCTTTCTGGCAGCTGGATTCTCTTTTCTTGTTTTGGAAAATTTCTGTCAAATAAATCCAGAGATTTGTAACTACTGGCTAGAGGGAAGTCTGAGATTCCATATGTACAAAACCAGCCCCAAGTTTCTCACCTGCCCTCACCAAGGCAAATGTAGGAAGGTTGCCCCAGGGCATACCTCTCTGCCATCTGCACCAGGTTTCTACCTTCAAGGCTGATGTTCATAGTTAGCTTTGAACTGCTAGGTACAGTTTAGTTTAGTGCATGAGAATGTGGGTTCCAGCCAGACTCCCAGGGTTCAAAACTGACTTAGGTTTGTGATCTCTCCGTGCTTTGTTTTCCCCACCAGTAAGATGGGAATAATAATACCTGCTCAATGGGGCATTTGTGAAGATTAGGTTAAAGTGCTTGGGATAGTGCCCAGCAAACGGGGCTCATCAAATGGCTACTATAATAGGAATTACAGTTCCAAGCAGGTTTCAGCTGACAAAAATGTTGGGTGTGGGAAGGCAGTTAGCCCACAGATGGTGGGTCTCATTAATGAGACCCGAAAGGCCCATTATTCAGCCCCTTCCTCTCCTCCTCTCCCCCTCTCCCCTCCCATACTGGTCTTCTTCAGGCTAATCAATCCCAACTCCTGTAACTGCCATGAACAACTTTAGAGCCCTCTTTGAAGCCTCCCTCCCCCAACCCCACAACCAGAAGCACTACCCCGCAGCTCATTCCCTAGAGGACTTCATTCCTAAAAAGCCATCCTCCCACCTGTGAAACCCTAAGACTAACTCCTCATTCTCTCTACCAGGTCTCTGGTAATGGGTATTCCAGGTCAGCCAGAGAAGCCTAATACACCATTGGGGGCCTACTGTGCAGGGTGGTGACCCTAGCCCAGCACTTAGGAGAAGCTATGGGAAAATTAGCCTACTCTATTATGAAGTCATTTGGAATCCAACAGGCTTGGGTCTGGGCAAATTCCATCATCTGAGTCTGTTTCCCCTCCAGCATACAGGTCTATGAATACCTACCTACTCTCGGGACGCGCGGTCAGAGCTGAATGGGAATGTACGCTGTGACTCGGTGACCAGGGAAACTCAACACTGGCGAACCTCCCCGCAGGGAGCCAGAAAGCAGAGTTGAAAGGCTGGGGGTGCCGCCCGTGCCATCATGGATCCCACACTCTCCGAGACCGTCCCTTCACCAGCTAGCGCTTACCCCGGCCCAGGAACCAGATTCGGGGGCCTCCCGGGAGCTTGTTACTGCGGCGAAGGCGTGGGGCCCCAGAAAACCGCGGCGAAAGCCCTGAGAGCAGAGGGGGTGGTGCCCCCGGAGGAGGAGGACGGGTGAGCGCGGAGGCGGCGCCTTTCCCCGCCCCGGGGCTCTCCCGAGCCTGCCCTCCCTCCCCGGACTACCTCCTCCCCCCGCACGCATCCGGCGGCGGGCACAGGATGTTCTTTCGCTCCCGTCCCAGCGCCCCCGCCCCCGCTCTCACTTTCCCTTCGCTCCTCTCCCCCACCCCCGCCGCCAGCACCTTGCTTAACTCCTCCTTTCCCGCGCTCCGCGGCGCCTCCCCCCCCCCTCTCAGGACGCTGAGCGAACGGCGAGGCTGCCCGGGAAGCGGAGGGCCTGAGCCGAGCGCTGCGCCGGGTCTCGGGATCCATTGGCCCGTCGGGGGTGCAGGGGCGGAGAGGGATCGTAGGCACTGAAGCAGGCATTCTTCGGACGCCCGCCAGCTCACCGGGCCTGGTGGGCTGGGGCTGGGTTGTCCGCTCTCGAGCGCGCCACGCGCCGGAGTGGGGCGGCCAGATGGGCGTGGGCGGTTCCAGGCCCGGCGGGTCAAGGACCCCAACTGCACCCTCTCCCTTGGTTCGGACTAGAAGGGGCTCCGGGAGAGGATGGAGAGGTCACGCCCCTCACGTATGTGTCACTGTTTCCAAGGCAACTGGGGGCGGGGAAGCGGGCTGGAGAAGGATAGACCTTACGGAAAGGCGGCTAACCGAGGCCTTGGGACCTGGGATGGGGGTGGGGGTGGGGCTGGGGGTGGGGGTGGGAAGGGAGGCGGGCTTTTCAATCTTTGCTTCACTTCTTCATTCAACAAACGTTCATTGAGCTTGAACTATGTTTGGTGCCATGCTTAGGCACTCGATTAGGGCGGTGCACGATCCGAACCCTGTCCTCACGGGTTAATTGTGACTTAGAGTAGGCTGGCCATGTTTCCCGGGTTACGTCTGTGAAACCGGTGTAATTACTGATAGTGTCCCTTTGCATGCTTAAAAGTGGCCCAGTAAGGAGTAGTTAAGAACCTTGTCCCCTAATTCAGGGAAGTATCCATCCCCGCAAGGAAGGAAGACAAGCTATTGTCTCCTCGTAACAGGCACTTTCTTGGCACTTTGTATTCTCTGTAATCTTTGCCCTTCATTCTGCAAAGTAAGTATCATTAGCGCCTTTACAGGTGAAGAAACTGGCTAAGAGCAGTTAAGAGACTTGCCCAAGGCCAAAAAGCTAAGTTTTGGAACCAGAATCCAGACCCAGTTTATGTGGCCTCCATATCCAAGTGCTCGATCTCATGCTTCCTTCTCAAAATAAACAGATATTAAGTGAATGAATAAAAACACTGTGCCTGCCATGAAGGAGTTAATGATCTATGTGGTTGAAAATACTACATGAATACCCCTCTTTGAAGATTTTGGAAAATGAAAAAGAGAGGCCCTCAGAACAAAAGGGCCCCGGCAAGCATCAGGAAGCCAACAGGCTTGGTGGATTGGGAGACCAAGTCAGGAGAGAGAAATGGAGGGATGAACAAGGAGCACAACCAAATGGATTGCTCACTTGAGCATTTGCTGCCCTCCTGCTACGCACCAGGCCCTGTGCATTCTGCAGTCTTGGCACACCATGAATGAACCGGGTTCCCTCATGTGGAATACACAGGTCAGCAGCTGGCATACCCAGTGTGCTTGGTGGAGGAGTCTGAAGTTGATGCCATACACAGTAAAGTGTTTAAGAAAGATTATTCCAGCAAAGTATGTGGGAGGAAGGAAAAACCTGGGTCAGAAAGGACAATGTGGCAACAGCTGTGGGAATTTGGTCCAAAGGTTGGATCTATGGAATTGAAGAGGAAGGAACTGATGAGCAAAATAGCAAACAATATATTCATCTTGTAATAAAAGCAACATAGGGAAGAATTTGGTAATAGATCTGCCCTAGAATGGTGAAAGAGAGAAAACAGTTAAAAATTAACCCACGTTCATGGTGAGTTTGGGGGATGGAGGGTCACGGTGGGCAGTGGGAGGAGCTGGTGTGAGGGACATGAGGATGAGTTCAGTCACTTCTAGACCATGTGCTCAGTCACTTGTAGACCAGGTATCCTGTAGGTGACTGGACTTGGAGATAGGGAAGTCCAGAAGGGCAGGGAGCTGCCTGGTGAGAGTGTCCCTGTCACAGCAGGTGAGCAGACAGCTTTGGAACATCACTGACCTGGGAAATCATGGATAGCTTTCATACATCAGGTAGAAGGTTGAAGTTGACGACAGTGAAGGTGCCTCCTGACTGGGAAATCCACTGAGCATTGGCTGGGTGAGCACATGTGTGGGAAGTATGCCTGTATGTGTGGGAAGAAGGTCCATGGCCCAGGCCTGCACTGGCATCCATCTCTTCACCTTTGGCCACAGAGGGTGCCAGAGATGCCATCAGATGGCCCAGGGGCCTGAGGCCCAGGTGAGGCCCTTCAGCAGCCTGGAGTCCCTCCCCCAGCCCCAACCTCAATGGCCCTGGAGCCCAGGGCTTGATGACTGCCAAGGCCTTTCCTGGAACTCAGTAAAGGACGGAGCCCCTCCCTGCCGGCCCTGGCACACTCCAGGCACAGTGTGTCCCCTGGGGCACCTTGCAGACACCCCAAGAGGCCCTCACCCCCCAGGAAGAATCCTGCTGCGGACTGCCATCTGAGTTCCCACCCCTGGACGGTCATCCTCCCAATGGCCCCACCAGACCACAGGGGACAACAGGCACAGAGGGGGAAGGAGAAGCTTTGTGGCCGGTGGCTGTGGGTCTTTGTTGTGGTTTTGGGTGGGAGGGTGGGTAAGGCAGAAAAAGCGGGGTCTCAGGCTTCAGAGTGCCTCCCCACCTGCTTCTCCCACCCTCTAAGGAAATCTTCGGGGGCCTGGTGGCTTTGAGGGGCAGGGACAGGAAGAGACTCAACTCTGGGTCATCTGAGGACGCAGAGGCGCGCTTTTTGCCCTATAACCCACTTCTTCCAGCATCTCCTTCCTCTTCTCCCCAACACCCTAGAACAAATGTCCACCTCCACCTGTAAGTAACAGTTATACCCCCACCAAGACCGCCAGAGGCTTACCAGCGAGGTGGGAGTTAGGGGAAATGGATGCGTACACAGCAGCTGTTGCCTGGCCACACCTTTCCGTATGGTGAGGAGAATGCCTCTCCCAGGTGCGCACAGCTGGCTCTGCTCTGGCTGGGGGTTGTGAGAAGCTTTAATAGAGGAGCGAGAAGGCAGAGGGATGCGCAACCCCGCTACGTGGAGGTCCCGGCAGGGCTGGAGCGGGGTGGGCGTGGGGGCGCCGAGGAGCTGGCGGTGCGCTCGCCGCTCCCGCCCCAGGAGCCTCGCAGAGTCGGGTCCTCGTTGACCGCAGGCTGCAAGAGCGGTTGATCTGGTGAGCGAGCACACCCACTTACCCGGCTGCTGAGTCAGGCTGTTCTCGCTCCCCGCTCGCCGCCCGCCCGCTCGCTCGGGACATTGTGTTCCAGCCCCGGCGCGCTGGCACTGGGCCCAGGCGCTCACCCCAGCCTCCTCGCCCTGTTTGTGCTCGCGGCTTGCGCTCGGAGCGCAGCCTCCCCGCCGCCGCAGCCTCCCGGCCGCCGCAGCCCTCCGAGTGTGCGCCGGGGCTGGAGCCAGGCGCAGGCCCCAGGGACCGCCGGGGGCGGGGCTGTGCACCCTCGGGGACGCACGCCCCGGCCGGGGGCCTCTCAGCCCCCCCGGGTCACCAGCCGTAGAGCTCCCAGACCCATCCGTCGCCCGCCCGAGCCCTGGCTTGGACCCCCACGCGTGTGTGGGCCTGGAATAGCACAGTTCGGGGGGCATGTGCTGGTGGCTCCGCGAGGGAGAAGTAGCAGCCCCAGCCCCACCGGCGCTCAGGCCAGTCTGGAGAAGCATATTTTGGAGCGCGCCAGCCCCAGACTTGGGAGACCTGGGATGCAGTCACGTGACCACGGAAGCCCGTTAGAGGGGGCCAATTCCAGCGATACCCCCCAGGAGCCTCCCGGATCCTCCGACCCCCTTTCTCTTGCTTACTTCACACAATCCTGGAGAGTCCAGGGATTCCCAGGAGCTGGCAAACTTAGCCCAGCCCTTTGGGTAGCTTGGAATCCCCTGGCAGGACGCCAGAAGTAGGAAGAGCGGGACACTGGCGGGTGGGGGTGGATAGCAGGGTGGAGGAAGACGACCCCAAACTCATCCCTTTGTCAGCCCCAAACCACAATTTATTCAGAGCCACATTTTCTCCTTACCCATCCTTCCGCCGAAAGACGTCACTGAGTGCCGTTCCTGAAGGTTCCACGGCTCCAGACCAAGAAGGGCACAAAGGACTTAAAAACGGAGCCAACTACCAGACGGAAGGCTCTGTTGGGTCCTGCTAAGGGTGTCCTTAGAAAACTTAGGACACAATTCCTCAAGTCCTTTCTCCTTCCTCCTCGCAGCTCCCAGTTTGCTGTGTTATTGCTCACGCTAGGACTGCCTGGCCTCCGTGCCTACCCACCCACCTCTCAAGCTCCAGCTCAAAAAGCCAGCCAGATCTGATTCCTTTCCCCTCTGAATGCCCAGCACATTCAGTTTGTACCTTTCTCACCACACAGCGTGTGGCTGTGGGAGGGGATAGCAGGGTGGAGAGTGGGGTGGGGGACGGATGAGTCTGGGAGCTCTACGGCTGGTGACCCGGCCGGGCTGAGGGTCCCATATTCTAGCAAGCTGTTTACTAATCCTGCTCTTCTAGCCAGATTAGAAAGTCCTTGAGGCAGAACAAAATCTGTGTGTCCGAGGCCTACTCCCCATCACTTGAGTTCACCCCCCACAGATCCAGCTTAGCACTGAAGTGGATGGTCAATAAATGTTGGGTGTATGGAAATGATTTCCTGCCCTTGGGCAGTTTGCAGACTAGTTGAAGAGACAAACGCACAGTGTCTGAGGTTAAATAATAACCCAAGCCAACAGGTGGTGAGTACCAAATGTGTAAGCTATAAAGACTCAGTAGGAAGGACGCAATGATATGGGAGAAAGATCCCAGGAGATTCCAGGCCTTGAGCTGCGCATGGAGGAGGAGAGAGGAGGCGTGGAGGTGACTCATTCTGGTTGACATCACCACAGACCAGCCTCCAAGCTAGGCACTTTACATGCATGATCTCCAATATTTAATGGAGTGGGCTAGATTTGGGGGCAGTGGAGGGGACAGTGCCCACGCCAGACCTGCCCAGACCTAACCAGAGCATAGAGGCAGCCTTGGATCTGGGCTCCCCACCCTCAGTCCCTAGGCACCGCCTGTTCCCTGGCCTGCCCCACCTACACACTACACCCAAGAGAGCTGCCCAGCTCTGGATGCACTCTGGTCCCACCCTGGTGAACAACTGGCTGTGTGACCTTGGGCAAGGCACTTCTTTCCCTACATCTCACCGCCATCTGTACCTCCTTTGCAGTGCTTACAGGCTGTGACTCTGCGTCAGTGTCTAAATGATGCTTGCCACCTCCCCTGATGTTACCTGGGCTGCTGTGGCTGCCTGTAACCCCCTTCCCCCCTCTTCACTCCCTCCCAGTCTGGAGCTGCTAAAAGGAACACTGGGTACAGAGTGTGAGCAGGGATAGTAGGTTTCCTGTGGTTGCAAAAGGAACATCGGGACTTTCCCTGCGGTGCCTGCCTGAGCTGTGGGAGAAGTGGGGGAGGAGGAGGCAGGGCCAAGCTCAAAGGAACCTCTGCTCTCTTCCCTCCCCTCCTCAGGGCTCCCAGCTCTCAAAAAGACTGGTACAGTTTGTTACGCTAGGGCCGGAATGTACCGTGTGTTTCATATGGCCTCTGTCCAGTCCTACACTGGCTGCTTTATATTTATACTTCCTTCTTCAGCCGTCCCATCCTGCTGTCACTTGCCCCTGCTCTCATCTGCCCCCCTCCCACCTGGGCCTCCCACCCTGCCATGGGTCAGTCCTTAGGTTCTAAACTCTTGTGGGAGGTAGGGGTGAGGTGGAGTGCAGAGAGACCCTGCAGGAGAGAAGTTGGACTCCAGAAGGTTAAAGCCCCCAGTCCCCCTTCTCTCTCCCATCACCCAGCCGTGAAACAGCCTCCAAGTCCATGGACTCTCCAAGTTGGGTCTGAAGGTTCTCTGGGACTTTGAGGTGGATCCCACACTCCTTGTCACCCTTCTTTTCCCAAGCACTTCAGGATTATTCTTGAGCTCAGCTAGGCAAGTGAGCTGAAGGCTTTATTTAAGTCCTACACCAAAGCTTGGTAGACCTGTTAATCCATGATCCTCCCCATCAGTCACAGAGAACATGGTAAAGGTGGGGACTTGGGGGGAATCAGATCCCCCTTACTGTAGGACTCCTATGTTCCAAACAGTAACTGCAAAATGGAATTTGACATTTGGTGACTTAATGATTTTCTGAGTTGAGACCAGTTTAATCTTGTGAAAGTAGCTTCAATATTCAAAGATCAATATGATTATGATCTGGCCTTCCTCTCCCAGAAGCATGTGATATTATTCATAAGAATAGCTAATATTGATTGCCTACTAGGGATCAAGAGTTAGCTCAGGATTTTTATACATGGGCTCATTCACTCTTTGCAACAACTCTGGGAAGTGGGTGCTATTGTTAGCCCCCTGTGCTAGTTGAGGAAACTAAGGCTCAGAGTGGGGATTCACATTTATGTCTGTCTGATGGCAAAGCCAGCACTTTTAAATGGTCTGCTAGATCATATGCCTAAATAGTAAATCCTGCATTTCTCAAGCCTCAGACTCATTCCCTTCTCCTTTCAAATGATTCCAGGAACTCTGCCACTTTGGAGCCCATGCACACCTTGCCATATAATGTGACAGCCAGAAAGCCATTTCAGCCCATTTGACAGGCTGAACTGTGGAGGCCCCTCAGGACAGACACTCAGTGGTGGAGTTGGAGGAGGGGAGGTGGAGCGAGGCTTGCTGGGCTATCTGTCCCTCGGCTAGCCAGTGTGCCAACTGCTACTCATCTTCTCACCTGGGAAAAATTTTGCCTCATTATATGAATCTGGCATTGGGATTAAAAAATGAGGGTCTGAGGCTCTGAACTCAGGTCTGTCTGTGGCCCTCGGTGACATGGTGGCATGGCCTCTCTTAGGGTGCATTCACAGCAGGACTTTGGGAGAAATCACCACCAGGATATGTCCGTCCCTGGCATTTGTAGCAGGCTGTGTATACTTTACTCTCATGTCCCGTCTCAGCATGACTTTAAATGTTCCTCTGAAGTAAGGAGAATAGTACCTGCTTTCCTGATGGGAAAACCAAGCTAAGCACAGCCAGCTGCTCACCCAAGAGCAAGAAACTAGGTTTGTGACTGTGGTGTCTGGGGTGCTTTGGTTCAAAACACAGGGCCACTCCTGAGCTAAGAGAAGAGCTTCCTGAGATGTCCCCAAGCCTCCTATGACATATGGCCTTCCACCCAGCCTTCTCACCTAGGGAGGGACCACAGCACCACACTACCCATGCCAGCCTTATCTGCCCCCAAGGGCTGAAGCCAGGGCACCAGACATCCTGTAGTGACTCGGCTGTCCTGGCCTCTGGCTTCCTGTCCTCTGTGGCTCTCATGGGCACATTCTGTCCCCTCTGAGCCCAGCTCTTCCTCTTTTATCCTTCCTTCTCTTGTTCTCTCTCATCACTCACTGAGAGCCCTGTTTATATGCCTCCATCCATCTGTGTTTGCTTCTTATTTTTGCTTTTTGTATGTCCAATCTCCTGGAAAGTTTCCCAGGGTCCCCTCTGCTTTCTTCCCCCTGACACAGTCTTGTTTCCATGGAAGGATCCTCCATTCCTACCCTGACGCCTGCTCCAACTTCTGCCAGCATCAGATTGCTCAGATCTATGCATTCGGTGGGCATGTTTGCCCCAGGAATTAGTGCCTGGGGGCCCAAAATGCAAAGGCCCTGCTGGAACATCTGTTAAGCACCTCCTGTGTGTACCGGACATTATGCTTCAACCTGGGGGCACAAAAGTTAGTCGTTGCCCTCAAGAGATCTCTGGGCTATTTGGGAAGAGGCACAAAACCCAGTCATTATAATGCCCTGGGAAGTTAGGGAGTGGGTGTGGCAGGAGAGGACAGGGAGGGCTCCCCTGAGGAGGCCAGTCTTCAAGTCTTAGAGGAGCTCACCAGGCAGAGTAAGAGTGCAGGGCACCCAGGTGGGAGGGACACTGTGTAGAAAGGCACCCAGGTGGGAAGTGGCCTTGTGTTCTCTGGCGGGCACTTTGAGTTGTTCGGTCTGGCCTGGACATGGAGCACAGGCTGGGGAACTCTGAGATGAGGCCAGAGGCAGGCAGGCTCAGGTGGTGTAGAACTTCATGTTCCAGCAAAAGGGTTGACCTTTATCCTGGAGCAGCCGGAAGCCCAATCAACCTCATAGCTCCCTGAAGCCTGGGAGTTTCAGGGCTGGGCCTGAGCCAGGCCCATAGCACGTCTCAAGCCCCCGTGAGCCTACATTTATTGCCCTTTGGCTCAGCAAGGTCTGTGGAAGTGTCAGACACTGGAATATAATGCTGTTTCCAAAGCACAACCATTCATTCATAAATGTTTAGCAAGCTCTGATGTTTGGCAGGTACTGCTCTGAGCACTAGGTATGGGCCCTTGAGCCCCACGGAGGTCCCAGCTCTCAAGAAACTGACATCCTTGGCAGTTAGGGTGGGAGGACAGACCATAAACAAACAAAACAAGTAAATTAGCAAGATTATTTCTGTCTTGCTAAGTGCAAAGAAAATAAAACAAAGCCATGCAGTTCAGAGTAATGGGGTGGTCTGGTAGTCAGGGAAGGCTGCTTTAAGGAAAGTTACATTTGAGCTGAGACTTAAGCAGTATGTGAACCTCTAGGGGCTTAGGGTCCTGGGCATAGGACATAGCATATGCAAGGTCCTGAGGCAGGAAGAAGTTTGGTGTTTTCCAGGTTTAGAAAAAATGCTGAGTTCAAACTCATCACTCCCCAGCAATTCCATGTAAGGATTATTGCACCCATTTTGTAGAGATGGAAACTGAGGCTCAGAATGGTTAAGTTCCTTGGCCAAAATCATAATTGACAGTATAAATTTTGGCTCTAAAGCCACTGCTCTTTTTTCTACCAAAATATCAAGTACAGCAAGCCTGTGTCCTAATTATTTAGGAAGGTCCAATTTCCAAGATTCATTGTTCCCTGGACATTCAACCTGGACATTCTCTGTATCCCAAATCATGACTTCTAGCCCTGTCTCTGTCATATACGTGGGTTACCAGTGGGATCCTAGGATGAACACTTCATCACTATAAACCCCATTTTCATCATCTGTAAATACATGGAAAGTAATGATTCCAATATCATAGGCTTGCTGATAGGATTAAATGAGATAATCTATATAAGGTCAGTACATGTCACAGATTCAATTCATGGTAGTTCTTCTTTATTGTTAACCTAGAAAACTGAAGTCTACTGCAGAATTGTCCTGCTCCCGCATGAGGCCTCTGATGCGTGAGACAGGCAGGGGGGCTGTGGGAAGAGGGAGGGCAGGAGCCGGTGGCTAGGAGGGCCTCTTCCCTTCACTCAGCCTCTCCTCAAGCTGGGATCCCACACTGACACATCTTGTACTTCCCGTTTCCAGGGAAATTCCTCCCTGCTGGACCCCACCCGCCCTTGAGGACCTCCTTATCTCTTTGGGTAGAGGGGAAGCCCGACAGACACAGGGACTGTGAGTGAGCTGACAATCCTCAGCCCTGGGGGTGCCAGGAACCCCTGAGGGGCAGGCAGCTACACTGCAGGAAGGCAGGGGCTGCAGAGGGAGCCTGGCGAGGGCTGCTGGGACAGAGCCCTTCTCACAAGAGGTGGGGACCCCATGGAGTACGTGACTCCTGTCCCTCTAGCCTGCACACTCCAGCTAGCAGGACAGAGACCCCTCCCCACCCATCTCCAACCTTCACTGGCTTCCTGCTCTGCTGGGAGGCCCTGTCACCAGACACGCACACACACACACACACACACACACCCCTCCCAGGCACCCCTGAGAGGACCAGCTGCAGCTGGGGGTGGAGGGGGAGAGCACTGCCAGGGTTCTCAGATCCCTAGCCTCCCTCTCCCACCCCTCCCTTGCCCTCAACTGCTGAGCGGCTTCTAGGTTTAAAGCAAAACACGACTCTGTCCTTCCTGCTGCTCAGTGGCAGCAGTGCTGCCTGGGGTTATTTTTAGCAGGGATACAGGGAAGGCACATTTCTCGTTGACTTTCACTGGGGATACCCCCCATCCCTCAGCCAAGACTTGGCCTGGGGAGGCCAGTACGGAAACCCCCCTCCCAGAAAGAGGAAATGGGTGTGTTTTCTGTTCCTTTAACTCACCAGAACAGGAGTTACAGTCAAGCTTTGGGGTCGCACTGATGGGAAAGCCTAGGTTCCAAAGGCCCCAGGCTCTACCCTGTCCCTTGTCTCTGGGTCCCCATATGTCTGGGGAGCAGGAAGCCATGGTGTCTGGAGTTGAGCTGCCTGGTCTATGGGTGCTGGGGTTCCAAGGGGAGCCGCTCTGCTACAGCCAGCTCTGCAGACTGCATGGGGGCACCAGACATTCTGAATGGTGTTTACTCGGGTGCCTGCTTTGTGTAATTCATTAAACTGAGCGTGTCTGTCCTATGTATTTCTCTGTCTGTGTCTTTTAGATGCTAGCAGCACTTTTTATGGAGGTATAATCTACATAGAGTATAACGCACAAATCTTAAGTGTACAGCTTGATGAATTTTGACAAATGTACATACCCGTGTAACCATCACCTAGATCAAGATTTGGAACACTTTCAGTACCCCTAAGTTCCCCATACCCTCTCCCAGTCAGACCCCACCCCAGAGACAACCACGATCTGATTTCTATCACCATCTTGTGCATGTGTGTGCTTGTGTTTGGGTCTGTTTTACAAGGTTGAAAGAAATACAGCTGCTATCGTAGAAGAGGAAAGTGGGCAATAAAATTTTTAATGTGAAAAGGGGGCCTCAGAAACGGAGGGTTATTCGAATTTGAAAAAAGCTAAGGAATCTGTCCATGGGAAACAGAAGGCTCCAAAGCCAGCCCAACCTCCCAGGATTGGGACAGAAGGCCTGGGGACATGAGGGCTGGGGACCCTTGCTGGAGCAGAGCGGCAGAGAGGGGGAGAGCAGGAGAGATGCAGCCCCCCCGGGCCCAGCCGCCCCAGGTTCTGCTAGAGGTCCTGCCTCCCCTGACCCCTCACCGTAGCAGTTTCCAACAAGGCCATGGCTTCCAGAAAGGGCGCTTTCCAGGGCATCCGCCCACCCGGGGACAGGGAGAAGTCAGGGCCTCTGCACAGCTGGGTATTTGTCTTTCCTGCTGCCCCTTTCAAGGTCTTTATGATTCTGGGCCTCCTTCATCCTATGTCCTGCCTGGGGAGAGGAAAGGCTGAAGCTCTCAAAGTAGAGCAGTAAAAGAAGAGCCACGGAGCTCCTCATTTCTTCTATCCTTTGCTTCACTTCCTTGGCAACACATACTTGAGCACCTGCCTTGTGCTGTCCTTCTGCTAGGAGCTGGGGATAACAGTGGGATGACTGAGAAAAATTTTAGCTTGCTAGAGAGTCAAAGGTAGCATTCCCAAGTAAGGTAAGACCTTATGCTCCCTTCAAATCGGAGATGAGGGGCTCAGAGAGGTAAAGTGACTTGTTCAGTATCACACAGCAAGCTGCTGGCAGAGGGAGGCAAAGAACAGGGACCCTTGACTCAGCCCTCCCTGCTGGGGATGAGAAAACAAAGGAAGCAGAATCAGCAGCACAAAGCCCTTGCTTCTCCCTCGAAGGCTTTCTGGGGTAGCAGAAACACTGACCTGAAAGTCAGGAGACCTCATTTCTGCTTCTAGGTCTTAGAAGCACTTCCTCTCTCTAGGCCTTGGTTTTCTCACTTGTTCATGAGGATGGCAGCCTCCAGAGGAGCGTTAAGGCCCCTTTAGGTCTGACTGTCTCGGGTATACCCTGCATTTTCTCACCTCGTGCCAATGCTCAGGTTGTTTCTGCCACCTGGAATGCCCCCTTCATCCCCCTCCCTTCCTCTGAGATCCTTCCAGTCATTCATGCCCTAATTCATATGCTCCCCTGAGGCCCCATTGTTAGAGGATCTGTTGAGTGGTGTCACATCTCCATTACCAGAACTGACAGAGCCTCCCTCATTTTGTGAGCCTTGCATCTGAGGGCAGGGCCTCCCGTGGGGAAGGTGCTGTGTCATCAGCCACTGCTGGAGGAGTTGAAGTGGATTCTTGCCTCTGCCCCCAGCCTTCCAAATGTCCTTTTCAACTTTCAGAAACTGAGCTCAACCTTCCTCTGGGTCTCCAAGAGACTGTGCCTGCTGGGCATGCCAGTCCAACCTGGGGGATCAAACTAGGGCACTTTTGGCAAAGGTGACTGCCCTGGGACTTGCCCCCAGGAAGGATGACAAGGACAGGGTGGGCCCCTGCCAGAAGGACGGTTGCCCTGCCCAATGTGTCCCACCCTCACTCACACACACCTGGGCAGAAATCCTCCCTCACAACAAATACAATTTCTGCTCCCACAGCCACACCCAAACCCACTCCTACCAGCTCACAAACTAGAAACTTTGCAAAAATGTATCCCACCCCTCCCTCTGCTCCCCTGTCCCTGGCAGGCATTGCCCACACATGCACATTCATTGCACATATGCATGGGCACACACAGATACACATGGGCAACATATACATGGACACTCATGTATAGACATGGGTGCACAGATGGGCCACAGGAGTGCATGCACAGGCATATAGTTGTGCTCCGTGCACCTAGGGTGCACACACTCGCACATGCATGCACACATGGGTGCACATATGTCCACACTCACTCTCCCATGATGGGGGGCTCCTCTCCATCCTCAGCTCTCAGGTGAGCCCAGCTGCTTGACAGGCGAGCTGAGGTGCTTGCCAGTGTGGAATGATGAGGAGAGTGCTCCACTGTTGGCTTCCAGTTGCGTCTGCATTTACACCAACCTGGGGACTTTGGTTTTAATTTTCCTTACTGATGGCCCTGTGGGAAACAGAAAAAGCCCTGTGTGTTCACTCCTAGGCAGCACCTTGCTTGGGTGGTGACAGAAATGGGGGTTGGGGTGGGTAGTGGTGGTAGGGATTCCATTACTTCTGTGAACAATGTCTCTCAGGAGCTGTCATTTTGGGGGATCAATAGACCTGAGGCTGATCTTCCCTTTGCCTTCATTTTCACACTTTTCACTCCGTTCCATCCACTCTTCCCATAGCTTCAGGGGTCTCAGGCCGTGTTCTGTTCCTGTGGGGAGGTAGGAAGGCTTTGAAAAGCAGTCACAAGGTTGATGCGGCAGCTCTGGGGCTGACAGCAGGGTCCCTGGCCGGCTGGCCCCCTCAAATGAAAGGGGGGTTTCTCTCGGACTCTTCCAGGGCGGCACAGCAATACTTTAGAGACTGGCAAGGTAAAGTGGTTGTGTCTGTGACACAGGTACCAGATGTAGAGGGTTGGGCTGGGAGCAAGCTTGGATTCTATTAAATCCAATTCAGTTGCGGTAATGGAGCAGACAGCGTGTGTGCCCAGCATGGTGCTGTGGTGGGTGAGGAGCTGAGGTGCAGAAATGAGTAAGACGCAGTAACAGTCTGAGAGAGGCAGAGAGAGAGGCAGAGAGAGAGAGAGAGGTGTGTGTGTGTGTGTGTGTGTGTGTGTGTGTGTGTGTGTGTGTGTGTCTAGGTTGGAGCCCAGGGGACATCATGCAGGCAGAACAAGCTCTGGGAGCAGAGCACAAGCACGACATGCTCTGCAATGAAGCCGTCACCTCTGCTACCCCTCCCCGGAGTATCACAAACAACACCACCGGCGCGACGCTCCTGCTGAATTTCCTATTTAGGTTATCGGCACCACATGGAGGCCCAGAGCAAAAACTTGGGGGCCATCTGATCTGCCTTCTCCTACTCCATCCAGTCAGTCCCCCAACCTATGGGTTATCATTGTCCCATCCCTCCCATCTACTGTCTCCTTTCACGGCTCCTTGCCACTGCCTTGGCATCTCTCACCACCTGCCAGCTTATAGCATCCTTCACTCTGCTGCCAGAACTATCTGCCTCAAACACACAGCTGGTCTGTAACTTAGAACCCTTCACCATTACCATCAGAATGAAGGCCCAACTTCCTGACGTGGCATAGCCATCCATCTTCGCATGGCATGCATGGTCCCTGCACCCCTCAGCCTCCCTGAAAGTGCATATTAGGTCCCAGCCCCCGGGTTACCCACAGTGGCCATGCTGGTGTACACCTCTGAGCCTTTTGTATGTGCTGTTCCTGTTGCCCAGTATGCCCCTCCTTGACTTAGCAAGGACCTCTTCATCTTTCCAGTCAGGGGGTTCCTTCTTGGTATAGAACACATTTTATAACAGTGCTGACAATAATGATTTAAATGTCAACATTTCTGTAGGCACTATTCTAACTGCTTCATCTATCTTATAGATAACTGGTGTAATCCTCACAACAAACTTGGTTGGTGCTACTATTATCATCTCTACTTTATAGATGGGAAAACTGATACACACAGAATTTAGGTGACTTATTTACCTAAAGTGAAATGCCTAATGTAGAGGGGGATTTATATGCAACTAGTTCAGTTTAAGTCTGTGCAGTTAACCCCTGCACTACACTGCCTCCCTCACTGTTATAAGTATTTGACAACTTAAATAGGTTTTGAGAAGCTAGAATCAGGTAATGTCTGATGAATGAATGAACTCATTAGAATTTAATGGAATAAAGAAGTAGGGGTCATCTTCACTTATGTCAGATATCTGCCATGCCAAAGCTATTCTATTTTTATAGAACATAAAAAAATTTTAAATAGGTTTTCAGAGTAAAATCTCATATGTCATGCATTCATCTTATCTCCTTGCTTTTTATATGGAACTTATATGGATCTCCAAGCCTAAGTTTTTTCAAGTCAGCAAAGTCAGGACCCTCTGATGACCTGCTTCCTATGTGGGCAGGGATCAGCTGCACACTGAGCTACCCTGTGGTTATGACACCAGAAAGATTAGTCCATTGAGAAGTGACCTAATGCATAGTGAGATATGGCCAATGCTGAAAGAACATCCTACCTCAGTACATGAGCCAGGGACAGAGTTGTTCCAACCAGGGATGTTTGAGAGGGATTTCTAGAAGAGGTGATTTTTGGGCTTTGTCCTGAAAGATTCTGATAAGTGATAAGAAATGAGTAGGGTAAGGAAGCTCAGAGAATGTTTGGACCATTGGGTTTTGTGGTAGGAAGGGCAGGGCAGCAAGGCAGGAGAAAGAAAGAGGATGTGATGGGAGGTATGACCAGACAGGTAGGTAATAGCCACATGGTGGAGTGGCAGGGGGTAAAATCACCTTCACTTCCACCCTGGATAGCTGTTTAATTTTGGATAAGTGGCTGATTTTTCATTTTCTGCCAACCTAAATGCAGACTAAGCATTTAAGCCCGGGGAAAAGTTCAAATGAGAATCCTCAGGGCAAGAGAGATTCATGATCCTCCAATATAACCTCTTTGGCTTCCCACACAACCAGTCAATAGCTTCAGTCTCCCAGAGCTCACTTCTGAAAAGCGGTGTGGCTTAGAGGATAAGTCATGCCTCTGCACTTGCTAGCCATGCATGTCATTTAACTAATCTGTGCCACAATTTCCTTAGACTGTTGAAGACTAAATTACTTAAAGCACCTAAAGCATCTAGAATATGGTCCAGCTGCCAATAAATGCCCAGTAGACATTAGCTATATCATCACTGTAGCCATGTAGGGAAAATGGAAGTTCCTAAGGCCAGGATCCTCACCTGATCCTAAACTACTTGATGATGTAATTGGCCTACTGTGAAGGCTAAAGCTTACACACCAGTTGGCAATGAGCCATTACTGTTGGTGTTACTATACACAGCTCCACCCAGGGCCCTGCTGTAGGCAGAGATGGAGATGGATTGCGAATGCCCCAGAGACAGACGTGATTCCAGCACTTGACCTGCCACTGTGAGAATAAAGCTTTGTACAAACCTTTTACTCCCAGTTCCTTTGTTGTTATTCAGTCTCATTGAATCCAGAGTGAACTTGCCCAGGGCAATCCCCCTCAGGCAAGACAATTGGCAATTGGCATAGTTGGCAAGACTTACTGCAGCCCTAAAAAAAAAAGAGGAATAAGCTGCCCTAATGGGAGGGGTACTTCAGCAGGCTGCCCCTGTGGATGGGGAGACACTCAGGTATTCCCCAGTGGGCATGTGGTCCAATGTGGCTTGCCTCCTAGATGATTGTGCCTTACCCCAGGACTGGGGTGAGGTGGAGGTGATGCCTGAGGCAGTAGATGAAGTCCTCTGCAAAATAGGGAATTCCTTAAAGAAACAGAGTGTCTAAAGGTGGTGGGAACCATGGGCTGACTATTCCACACAGTGTTAAAAGGGCCATAAAGGAGAAGAATGTACTCCTGTGAGAAGCACAAGAAGAGATAAAGATCATGAAGAAGGAAAAAAATGCACTGATGATTGAAATGGCATTGCTGCAAGGTGCTATGGAGATGGTAAAGGATGTGATGGTAACACAAGAAGAGACAGCACAAAAATGCAGGCTGAGAGGTGATGTGGAGGAAGTAAAATATTTGTTGAAGAATGAAATGGCATTGCTATGAAGCACCGTGGAAGAGTAAAGGCCATAAAGGAGAAGGATGTGCCCTAGCAAGAAGCATGAGAAAAGGCAACGTGAGAACGTGACCTGCAAGGTACTGTGGAGGAGGTAAAAGATGCTTTGCAGAATGAGATGGTGCTGCTGCAAGGCACTATGGAAGAAGCAAAGGCCATGAAGGAGAAGGACATACTCCTGTGAGAAGCACAAGAAGAGGCAGCATGATAATTCCAACTTCAAGGTATTGAGAAGAAGGTAAAAGAGTCGTTGAGGGTTGAGATAGCATTGCTGTGAGGCATTGTGGAGAAGATAATGGATGTAACAGAGGAGGTGCTTTGCAGAACAAGGAAGCTGCCATCAACCCCAGAAATGGTGAAGGAGCCAGGGGAGAACAAGAGGGAAGAGGTGGTGCCAGAGACACCAACCCCTCCTCTACTCAAATCCTACCTGGTTGTAGTCAATAAAATAAAGATGCAGCAACCACAGGTTCCTCCACGAGTGGGGCAGCTCCTCCCCAGGTCATGGAGTACTCCAGGCTCTGTCCCTATACACAGGTGGAAGTGGTATATTTGGGTTCCCAGTTTTGGCAGAAACCCTCAGAGTCCTTATCAACCTGGCTCCTGTGCCTTTGGGATTTAGGGGTGGATGGGATCATTATGTCTGGATTAGGGATGGGAAAGCTGGCTTCTCTGATAAATCATTCTGCCTCAAGGCAGGAACTACAAAATGCACACCTGAAACCAGGGAATCATTTACTTCTTGAGTGGGTAATGGCCACACTTTTGACTCTATGGTCCAACCAGGTTAACTTACCATCTTCCCCACCTAGATGGTAGATGTATACTGAGCTCCAACAGGTGTTACAGGAGTTAGGTACAAAAAATGCCATTTGTAACAGTAAATTATGACTCAGATGAGGAGGTGTTTACAGCAGGGATGAGGAATATGGTGCTGCGAACAGCTCCTTCATCTCCCTTTGGGCCCTTGGTGGCCATTCTTTCTCTTCACTTAGGGCATCCCATAAATGTGGTTACCCATACTGTGGAAGACATGGGGAAGGCAGAAACAATGTGGGGACATAAGGAAGAAGGAAGTACAGTCTGCTCCTGAGAGCAAGGGTCTAAAGGGCCCTGTGAAGGTCACAAGGACCCAGGTGTGGGTTGATTTAATAGGGGTAGGAGCAGACAGAGAAATTGGATCGGAAGTCAAATAGAATCTTACTATAGCTGTAGAAATGATTAAGCTAGAGCAGCAGGTTCAGCTGCTAAGGACCAAAAGTGTAGGCCAGAGACAGAGCCACAATCCCAGCCTGTGCACATGCAAGACTTCCTGCTGCAGAGTGAGCCAACCTTGCCTGAACCTGCACAGGAAGATGAGTAGGCTATATGGTTTGACTAAGGGGAAGGTCGAGGCACTCACCTTGGGGAACAAGGTGGGGACTGAAGGCCACATTTTGAAATATCACTTCATTGGTCCCCAGTGAATGTACAATGTGTCCTGGCTTTTGTAGACACAAGAGCTGAATGCTCATGATTTATGGCAACCCTGAGAAGTTTCCTGGGATCCCCACTGTTATAGATGGTATGTGGGTAAGGCTACCAGAGTGAAACAAGCGCAAATTCTGTTGAGAATAGGACATCTACCCCAAAAGGAGTATACAGTGTATGTTTATCCCATCCCTGAATACATTTTTGGGATGGATATCCTGTAGGGCCTATGGTTGAAGACCACCACAGTTAAGTTCAGACTGAGGATACGTATGGTAAAGGCAGTTCTGAGGGGACATACTAAGCACCCACCCATTGCTTTGCCCATGCCTTGGCAAGTGACTAATACCAAGCAATACAAATTGCCTGGAGGGCATAAAGAAATTGGAGAAACCCTCCAGGAACTGGAGAAGGTAGGTATTATAAAGCCCACTCATAGCCCTTTTAATTCTCTGGTGTGGCCAGTAAAAACATCAGACAGCTCCTGGCTATGACTGTGGATTACAGAGAACTGAATGAAGTCATACCCCCTCTGCATGCTGCCATTCCTTCTATTGCAGTCCTTTTGGCCACCATAAGTCATGAACTAGGGACATATCATTATGTTGTAGATCTTGCTAATGCCTTCTTTTCCATTGACACAGAACAGGAAAGTCAGGAGCAGTTTACCTTCACATGGGAAGGCTGGCAATGGACTGTCACTGACCTTCCACAGCGGTACCTCCACAATCCCACCATCTGTCACAGACTTGTAGCTTAGGACTTGGCAGCATGGGAAAACTGCCAACGTTGCAGCTGTACCATTATATTGATGATATCATGCTTACATCTGATTTTCTTTCAGATCTAGAAAGTGCAGCACCTAGACTGCTAAAACATCTGAAGGAGAAAGGATGGGCTCTGAACAGCATCAAGGTTCAGGACCTGATTTGTCAGATTCTTCAGGGTTATCTGGTCAGGTAAGACTAAAGTTATATCAGAACCCATCATAGATAAAGTCCAGGCCTTTCCTATATCTACAACTGTGGCATTATTACAAGAGTTTTTGGGTCTTTTAGGCTATTGAAGAGTGTTTATCTCACTCTTCAAGGGCACAAATTCTGAAGCCCTTATACCATTTGGTATGGAAGGGGATCAGGTGGGACTGGAATGAGACATGCATGTCTACTTCTACTGCTGCAAAATGGGCAATCAAGGCCGTGCAGGCCTTGAGTGTAGTAGACCCATCAAGGCCCGTGAATCTGGATGTTCTTGTGATCAAAGAGAGTTATGGCTGGGGTCTCTGGAAGAAACTTGAAAAAACTCACCAACCTATTGGATTCTAGTCACAACTCTGAAAAGGGGCAGAGGTACAGTACATCTTAATGGAGAAAAAATTGGCTGTCATGTACCACGAATTGCTGGCTACAAATCCCATCACCAGAACAGCCTCAGCAAAGGAAATAACCACCTATCCCATCACTGGGTGGATATAAGATGGGACCCAAAACCTTGGAGTGGTGCAGCACAGACTCCTATAACAGCCAAGTGAGACACACACCTATAGCAGCATAGCACCCTCTTTACTAGCCCCTTGAGTGAAGAACTCTAATGCTTACTGGGGCAATGTACCAGTGAAAGGCAGGAAGAATTTGCCTTACAGCCATTAGTATCAGAGAGTTCTTATCAGGAGAGAAGAAACCTATACTCAAAGATGCATGTTACATAGATGGCTCCAGCTGTGGGCAGCCCCTGATGTGGAGGGTTGTAGCTTTCTATCCTAAGACTGAGACAATATGGATAGAAGATGGTCAGTTGGCAGAGTTGCAGGCAGTGTGGCTTCTGATAACCCAGGAGCCCTCCCCAGTAGTTGTCTGCACTGACAGCTGGGCCTTCTATTGAGAGTTATCTTGGTGGCTACTGACATGGTACCATGCCAACTGGTTGGTTGGTCACTGACCCCTTTGGGAACAAGGGTTGTGGCAAGATTTATGGGCCTCTGGTCAGACTGAAAGATATCATGTGACAGGCCATTTGCCTCTGGCATTACCAGGAAACAATGAAGAATATTAATTGGCCGGGTATACTGGCTAGAAGGAAAGCCTGCTTCTGATATGGCCCAATGGTTATATCAAGGTTTGTTGTAAATGGAGCAGAAGACAATGTGGGCTGTAGCCCATTGGTGGGGACTGCCTTTGGTCTTTAGAGAGGTCAGCAGAGCCCAGCAGGAGTGCATTGTATGTTCTAAAAGGGACTTACACCGAGTACCACAGCAACATGGGATGATAGCTAAGGGGACAATGCCCCTCATAAGATGGTAGATAGACTGTACTGGGCCTCTGCCCATGTCAGGGGGGTATCGATATGTTATGACTGGTGTGAACACAGCTATTGGACTTATGACTGCTTTTCCTGCATGTTGCACAGACCAGCAAATGATAAAAAGATACCTAGAGTGTTTCTTTGCAGCCTATAGCTGACCATAGGTCATTGAGAATGATCAAGGGACCCATTTTGCTGGACATGCACTATAAGAATGGTGCAATGATTAGGGATAAAGTAGAAATTTTATGTACCATATAATCCCACTACAGCAGGCATGATAGAGAGGTACAGTGATTTGTTAAAATCCAGTCTGAAGTCAGACACCAATAGTCCATGGGGCTGGTTGGTCTGCTTATGGACAGCACTACCGCGTTTGAATAAAAAGCCCCAGAAAGGGGCACTGAGCCCCATAGACATGCTAACACACATTGCTGCCTCCCCTATACAACTGCAAGTACAAACCAACCTAGGAGTAATCATTGAAGTGGGATTTGGCCACCAGAAATTATCTTGCTGACACCACCGATTGCAATGGCCCAGAGACTCCATTCAGTGGCCATGGCCATGGACATTCTGACACATGGACCAGTGATGGCTGGCCCTCCTGGCACCTTGGGGACAAGTCCTGTAGCTGGCCTCCTATGTATTCCTGGAGTAATGGCAGAGTGGCCCCAAAAGATCACAGTAGTGTACTCTAAATGACAGGAAGGTAAA